AAAACAAAAAATTCTTCACCCATACGTCGTTAATGAAATCAAGAAATTCAGGATGTGAAACAAGCACACAGAACAACAATGGAGATGAAGCAACGTGACATCAAATTGCAAATACAGAAACAGAAAATGTTTACATCGAAACGACAATCGCCTAAAAAAACATTCATAGTATCAAAAACAAGGACAACACGAAAAATGAAAACGATAAAAATATTCATAGCCTCAAAAACAAGTAAAAATACAATAAAAGTTTCATGCAATCGAATATGTCATACATCTGAATACATTGCCGTGTAGAAGAAACTACCAATAAATCGATTTCTTTGCATTCAGTTAGTTTCTTTTTTTTTTTTTAATGACAACATCAATTCAAAACATTAATTTACATTACATTCAGTTGAATGGGAATTTTGTTGGTTCACATCGTGAATTCATTGAAACTCTTGTGAACATAAAGTTATCATGGTACCTGAATAAAAAATCAAGTGAATCAGTTTGAATCATTTCAAAAACATCAAAAGAATTCAAAAAAATTACTTTCAGAATCACTCAAAAAACGAAAATACCCTTCAGAGCAGGACAATAAACGACGTGCATTAATTCGTTTAAAGTTATCGATAAATAAAAGACCAAATTTACAGCGAATTGAAATAATGAATATTAATGCCTCGATGATTAGCTCAGTGGCAGAAGGAATTTGAAANCGTGATCACCTCCAACGATCCATCCCTCTACATAGTATCATCTTGGTACAGATCCAACAACGATTCACCTTGATTCAAATTGAAGATATAATCACGTTCGGATGGCGGCGGACTTAACCTTCGCAGAACTTCGGGTCCTTCTGCAACCCAATGCATACATTTACAAAAATTCTTTCATCAGAAATAGACATTTTTGATGACGAGATACTCAAAATTCATCTACAATGCCCAGTCAAATACATAAAAATTTTTCTAAAATGGAATACTGAAAATCGTATCATTCGAAAATGTTTGATCCATTCTAGTCTCATGATTTGGCCATTTCTATCGCAATGACTCAAATCCAAAACTAGGCATACACTCTCTCTGCCTCAGCTTTCTTGCAATCATCAGATTACAGGTTCAGTTATGAAATCAACGCTTTCTGTATACTGGACAAATCGAGAATG